AACTGGCTTAAATAGTGACCGTCATAAACTTCCGACCCATCCTACATCAGGTATTCCACAATCGATAATGCTGCAACTCCCAATCATAAAACTCCACCAGTATTTTCTACACCTTCAAGCTGCACCTCTGATACCAGATGGAAATGCCGTCGGCACCAATTCAAGTGTACGACTCTTTGTGTGTCGGTTTTCCACATGATTTTACTCTTCGCTGCAGCTCTACAGACAACAGGGTAACACCGTGAAAGCTAAAATTCATATAAAATAAGGCGCTGGAAATTCAAAGTTTAAGTGGAATTTAGTTATGCGATATGTATACATGGTTGGATAGAGCTCGTCGAGTTGAGCAAGGATCTGTTTTAAAGTTTCGAATTAAATTTCTAAGGTCGAAATTTCAAAAAGCTCAACCTTTTCAAATTTTAGAAAACGGCTTATTTTTTTGAAAACGAACGCAAATCTCGAATTCGTTGTGTTTGAGAACCTTGAAAGTAATTTTTCTTCTTCTGCGTGAAAAACTAGTCGGAAAATTATCGTTTCGATGCTATTCAAGCTATGATATGACCTAAACAAGTTAATTTTTCACCAAATCCCGTTCAAGTGGTGCCAAAAGACTTCAAGTCTCTTTAGATTTGAGATAAAACCAAAATTTTTATATCATTATACTGGCCACGTCGGCATGAAAAAAATTCGGATCGGTTTTGGAAAATATTGCTTCATTGTTGAGAAAATTAAGTTTTTGCTGAGAGGTAGCAAAAAATAAGAAAATGCACTCGTATTTTGCAGCTGTTGGTGAAAAACTAAACTTGTTTAGGTCGTATCATAGCTTGAATAGCATCGAAACGATATTTTTCTGATTCAGTTTTTTACGCAGAGGAAGAATAAAATACTTTCAAGGTTCTCAGACACAACGAATTCGAGATTTGCGTTCGTTTTCAAAAAAAAAGCCGTTTTCTAAAATTTGAAAAGTTTGAGCTTTTTAAAATTTCGACCTTAGAAATTTATTTTGAAACTTTAAAACAAACAGATTCTTGCTCAACTCGACGAGCTCTTTCCAACCATGTATACATATCGCAAAAGTAAATTTCACTTAAACTTTAAATTTCGGATGCCTTATTTGACAGAAAACAGATAATTAATAACGAAAGTATTCAGGCGAAGTAGATATTTCCGGAAACAATAATTATTCGGGCTGCAAGAGTGAAATTTTTTTCTAGTCCTTCAGATCATACTTGTGACCAAGAATAAATGTCGTGACATTAGAAATGGTTACTTAAATGGGATAAATATGTATAAAAATTACGAAAGTGTTATTTTTTAACCGAACCCATAACAGACAGAAAAACCTAAAATTTGGCCAGTTAAGTAGATTTTCATGTGTCCTGCTCGAGAGTTGAAAACAAATTAAAAGACGAAAGCTTTCGTACGCTCGAAGAATGCAACGAGACTAGTAGTGACTCGTGAAAGAAAAACTAGAATAGACAATGTAACGCTATAAAATCCTACGCCAAACGAAAACAAGATGTACCGTTTGACTGCTTAAAATTTCGTGAATAAAATGTTTAAACGCTTTCTGCTTATGATGAATGATTTTGGAATAACCATATGTTTACTACACAAAAAAAAAGACGAATGCCATTTTCGTTGTTAAAGGTAAACAGATTTATAAGTATAGCAAATATACTTCACCGCGCATTAAAAAAAGTCAGTTGTCAGTTAAAAACATTTCTTTCCTGACTACGAATGTCAAATTAGAGTATAGGATGTTACGCAACTAGAAATTTAAAGAAAGTTTGACCACATCCAAAAATGTAGACAAAATTCATGAATGTTCTTCGTACTAGAGAAAGTTTGACAACTTTGGAGGCATTACAAGGATTGTAGATTCCGGGAACGAAGTTTGACTACTTCAGAAAATATGTTAGACAACAAGCAAATTATTTTCTGATAAGTGACTGAGCAATCACGATAATGAATGTACTTCGTCGGGCATCAAATAAGTCAGACATCAGTTGAAAACATTTCTTTCTTGACTACAAATGTCAAATTAGAGAGTAACATGTCAGGCAACAAGGAATTCAGAGAAAGTTTGACTACTTTGAAAAATTTAGACAAATTTCTTGAATGTTCTTCGTACTAGAGAAAGTTTGACAACTTTGGAGGCATTACAAGGATTGTGGGTTTTGAGCAAGAAGTTTAACGGCTTCAAAGGAGCCAAGCAAATTCCTAAAAAAATTAGTGCATGCTCACAAAACGATCATGCAAACTAATGACAAATGATTAGGCAATCACTATTAACACATGTTCATTGCAAGTGATTATTCATCAGAACAATCAGATATGGCATTCGTACACGTCTCAAGTACAAAAATGATTATGCATCCGAACAATTGGATCATACAAGAACAATGTGTAGACTTTTCTTCTTTTTTCGTTCCAGAGTGTGTCTTACTTTTTTGTATATAAAAACAGGCGTTCTCTGTAGTTTTTTGTACTTCTTTTTCAATGTACTGAAGAAGAATTCGAAACCGGTCTACATTGAATAAAAATTATAGTACCAGATCTATTAATTAGAAAAGTCACAGTAGACACTGAGGACTGTGAAATTTCACTTGGACCAGTGAACCAAACTGCTAGAAATGGATGACATCCATTTTGCTAATTCTCAGATATTCAAGGGTTCAACCATCGCGACTATAGTTAAACATGTATTCCAAACGATGCAATATTTGTGTACGTAGAAGCAATTGATAAAGAATGACATGGCAAAACTTTTAGTTCTATATCTACAGCACGTTTATAAAAATATAATGCACGGTTCAATTTATTTTGTTTTTGATAAATAACACCTAATGCCGAATATGAATTTGCAATACTCGGATGATTTAGTGGCAAATGTGTTTGTTTCATCTTCAATGCTATTGTGTACCAAGCAACGGCTGTGTCAAACCGATTCTGTTGAAGATAAATTTTTCCAATGCTGTGATATATAGTAAATAATAGCGAACTCTTATCAATTTCAAAATGCTTTTCTTGCATTTTCTGCAATGCTAAAAAATAATTCTTAAGTGCAATGTCATGATTTTCTTTCGAATAAAAGACTCGACCCACATCCAAATAATATCGAGCAATATCATAACAATTTTCAGACACTGAATATGCTAATTGTTCAATATTTGTTTCAGTTTCCTTATAGTCACCTAAGTAACACGTTAATCTGACGAACAACGATCGTGGATCATCTTCTCTCATTTCTCTTTTAACTAAATCAACTAAATCTTTTTGTGAGCTTTCCGTATGCAAATGTAGAACCCAAACATTCGATTTTGGTTATACTCCATCTCCTGAATCTTAAACACAGTGCCAATATCAAATAAAACTTCTTCTTCATCAACGATTCCACTAAATTTTGATATGTCAGCAAATATAATGTTCGAATCTGATTTGTTGCACTCAATTTCAAACAAGACAGAACTCATTTCCAGTTGGATCGTTCCAAACCCACATCCGGCATACATTAGCGCTACCTCTCGAAAAGAAGATGTGGATAGGAATTCATGTGTTGATAAGCGTTCCCCAACGTTTTCTTTCAGGATTCCTAATAGTTATGATCGTGCCGCGATAAAAGTTAACTATTAAACTAGTACAAATTAAATTCAATCGTACTACATTATATTCCCTGCTAACTGTCTCTGAATGTCAGTTATAGATGATCGAAATAAAATTATATGGCTAATATCGCATGATTTCAAAGCTTTGTTGACAAGACGATAGAAAAATGAACCTCTAGTATACCAACGAATGGTATTAGACGATTCATATGTTGCTTCAAATTCATTAATATTTTTCAATTCAACAAAATTTTCTTTATAACGTTCTCTACAATAGTCAAGCATTTGTTGTTTTTGCTCTTGTTTCATTTCCTGATACAGACTTGTAAACAGCTGAAACCATGCAGTTATGGCTGATTCAAACGTTAAACTTGTTGACGATACAACTATACAGTATGTAAAATAACGGTTCATTTTAGAGGGTAATGGATTATTGAACGTATATGCATAATCCCTTGCTTTATGCGATGATTCATCGTTTATATACTGTAAAAGTAATTCGGTTCCGTTACTTGTTTGTGTTGAATCTTCTGTTCGATTACGACATGTTAATAAATAGATCATATTCTTTTTCACATGAGATATCTTTCAAGTTCAAATCAGCAGCCATCCGATTCTAAAACTTTTAGACGATAATATTGAGTAATGTGAATTACTATTATCCTTTTCAAATTATAAGATCTTCGACTGTCTTTTTATAAGCAGATATTAATTCATAAGTCTTTTTTGTGTAGAGATGTTTTATTTTAGTTGACCGAATGTGACTCGTAACTGACGTGGCTTTTTCATCGTTCTCACTTCTATATATATAAGTGCGATAGTCTTCGCTTTAAAAAAGAAAGGATTGTACATACAGGAGAGGAATGCTGTTTTTTTGTTGTCCCTCTCACTCCTCAAGTTTTAAAAATAAAAGATCCTTTTGGAACAAGAGGTCGGATCACTTTAAAGGCAAGTAACAGCAAGTGAGATATTCTAAGTTATCTCTCTCTAACCTAATTGACTAACTAATTAATAGACCAATAATAGACGTGCACGCGTACAATAGCGTACAATTTCGAAGTCGCATGTGTACAATGCAGCTTTTTCGTTAATTTCATCAATAAAAACATCACGTGGATCCGGAAGCGAAGAATTTGAACTTCCACTAGTTCTATCAGCATTACCTGCCAGAAGCACACCACTAACCAGTAAATAGTTCAACACTCGATTGTTGAATGAATCATATACATAGAAAGTACCATTTTCATCAACGTAGAGTCCCCAAACCCCGTACAGTTGATCCTGTGGATCACCGTTGCCAGCCAACGTCGTTCTATTACCCGTTGTTTTAATATTTCTACTGTGAACCTTGTTCCAACATAAACATTATCAAATTTGTCGATAAATAAAACAAGCGCATAACCTTCTATTGATAATGAGGTAACAGGTGGATGCAAATTGTTAGCATCATATTTTCGCATGCGCCGATTGAACCAGTCAGCAACATATAAATTTTGTTTACTATCAAAAGCGACATCACTCGGATCTTTTAATTCATTCGTTCGATTAACCCACTATGCATCGCTGTCCACCACTGTTATTTCTGTCTGGCCCCGCGTAGATGTGGTACACAATGATACTTGATGAGTGTTTGGTGTCATCGTTGTTAGTAGGAATTCCAAAAGTAGCAGGAGTAAATTGACCTTGATCATATTGTTGTATTGCAGTTTGAAACTCGGGAAGCAACTATATTTTAGAAATGACGTTTAATGAAAAAGAAATTTCATCATAGTATCAATTCATGGTTTTACTTCTTCTTTTGCATGTTGTTGCACAATAACTGAGTTAATATTCAGAAGAAAGGAATCTGAATTTCTGGAATTAGTAGTTTGTAGGTCTAGCGATGATCTTATTTCCGAATCGCATAAATTATCGTAAGTTGATTACATATATACTTATCTTTTTACATTCGAAAAGAAACGTATTCTTCATGTTTTCAGAGAGCGAGTTGAAGATCTTATTTAAGTACATTGATATTTGAAAAAGTTAATTCTATTTTTCAATAGAAAATGAGTTTTTCACTCATTTCAATTTTTCAGAAATTTGATTTTCCAAGATTTGGAAAACACAATATTTCTTTTGAGTTCTCTTAATATCTCAAAGCTGAAAAAGGAAAAGAAAATCACCTATTTCAATCACCACGTTTTTTGCGATTCCTAATATATATACAGATATAACATGATCTTTTGTTACAAAAGCTTAAACTTATTCTCAAAAAGTTCTATTCAAGAACATGTTTGTTCTTGACAATAGAGTTCTAAAATTCGACTCGAACCCACTAGGGGGCTCGAATTTGTCGCAAATAGCTCCCCAAATGGATGGAACGGCTGAAGGGCAATTTTCAACAACATTCTTAACATCATCGTCATCATTACTCACATCAGGAACAATTTCAATCAAATTCTTTCGATGAATCCTTCGATGAGCATTTAGACGTGCTTTAGAAGAAAAATACTGCTTACAAGTATTACATGTTCTTTTACTTAGACACTTTTTAACACTCGAACACGAAAAATCAAATCGTATTTTAATATTGCATTCCTTACAATATTATCAAAACAAAGACGTTCAAAAATCGAGTCATAAAAATAATATTTTTGGCAATCATTTTCTACCATAACTATACCAATAGATATGGATTTGAGCAGTACAGGTCTGAGGTCGAATCGGATCTTAGATAGATGACCAGAAGCCGACCCGAAAATTTTTCCAAACTTGACCGGATGAACCGAAATTTTTCTTAGATGGCCTAACAATTTTTTTCCGAAAAAAGAGCAGAAAACTGTAGCTTTTGTAGCAGCGTAAAAATTTTTCAGATTTTTTCTCCAAGTGGTGGCTTACTAGAATTGACACACGCGATAGAAACTTCCATAATTCTACAGCCAATAATCATCATACGGAATATCCATTATACTCATCAATTCCATTTTTGATGAGATTTCATTTGGTATATAATTCGTTTTGATATCATTTGTGTTTTATTTTTGAGCTGTACCCCATATCAAAATATTATTTCCAACCCCGTATATGATCTTCCTCCACCTTTTAAATACCCTTTTAATTAGTCACATTCATCATCATTGTCAGGTAGACTAGATGTTAATTAGATCTCGTAAATGTAGAAAAAAGTAGTACACTATTTATTTCGTTTAGAAGATGAATGTAATATATATCTACCAGGAAAAATATAGAAAAATGTATCGTTTCTCTTTGATTCGATTTAACCGACGGATAAGAAGATAGGTATAGTTTTCAAGATATAACAGTTCATAGTTTGTTGGTGCATAGAGATGTTTCTTTTATATTTTCAAGAAATAAACAGAATCCAAACTTGAACCATTCAGTCCGATGTGTGTTGATATCGAATAATCGAATATCGTAACCCCCTCCCTCCATAACAGAAGCCCCCTCTGGAGGAATCGATGTGGAAGGTGTATTAGAAGCCCAAGGGCTTCTATTACGTCGGAAAAATAATTTCAATTTTTTAAACGACACATTTGATCGACACGCGTTCTTTTACTTTAATTGTTCTTGTATGATGTCGTGTGTAAAAAAAGGAAACGAATAAAATTTACATTTTTTATCTCGAAAAAGATTTTTTTCAGATTAATTGAGATTACCGTGATTAGAAAGGCAAGAGCATCGAAATTCAAAATCTCCTTT